ATGCAATTATAAGGGAGCAGGCGATGCACTTCAAGTTGATTTGCTCAATAATCCCGAGCAAGTGGCTACCAATCAAGCACTCGCATGGAAAGTAGGCGTGTGGTTTTATACGGACAAACAAATGAGTGCGCCATGTCAAGCCGGTGATTTTGCTGCATCGACTCGCATTATCAATAGTGGAGAATGTGGTGGTGGTGCGCTATCGGATCGACAAGCACAACGTGTTGAAAAGTACAAGAAAATTCGTGGCTGCTTTGGCCTTGGGGAACCATCGACAAATCCCACGTGTTAAACGACCGGCACACATTTTCTGTTTTCTTCTTCTTTTTCTTCTTTTTTTGAAACGCGCGACCCTGGTAGTAGTACAAACGCGATCTGTATTTATACGGAAAGTGAAAATCCAGGGAATTCATTGATAATAAATAATTAAAATCCACAATGTTTCTTAAATGCTTTAGCTGCTTTGGGAGCTTCTCCTTCCACTGGTTTCATATTTGCTATTGGGGTGATGATCCTCTTGAGAGAGACTTTATTACAAATGATCCTAGAAGTTGTTCGCTTGTCAAGATGATGCTGCACTGTCGTTTTTACACCCAAGACCGACTAATACCAATTTTGTACAGTTCTCTCGTGAAGGTGGTCATACTAATACACATCTTCTTGGAAAAGGTCTGGGATCCCGCTGGACATTGCTGTCTAATGTTACCATAGCGAGAAAAAGATTAGATTCTTGGCAATTCAACTTTGCAGTAAACAACAGAGCTTTGCAAACTCTTTAATATTCATGAACTGTCGTCTTTTTCTTACTATACGAAAAATCAACAATGATTGCTGTAAATTCAATTGTTTCCGTTCAAAAAATGAAATCTAACCACAAATATCTGTACGCTATCGCTGAAGTACTATTCAATTCAGACAATACGAACACTATTAATATGTTGGAAGACTACTGCCGATTATATGACTTGAAAGCCAAATAAAGGCCTTCTGTCTTATTCGGTCTTCTGTTATATCCGCGAAAAAAATCGGAAAATCTCGTGTACGGGAATTTTACAAAAAACTTCTCCAAAATGTACTTCTAATCGGAGATGGACTTCAAGTACGTGTTCAAGAATTTTTTATCCTTATCCTCTCTGTCTAGGTTTGTTTAGCTCTGTTCGACGTCCTATATCAGCATTTTCTTCCGTCTAGTGTATATACATATTAATAGTGTTCGTATTGCCTGAATTGAGTAGTACTTCAGCGATAGCGTACAGATGGAATGATACACTTATAGTTCCAAGAGAATTTCACATATAGTGGAAGATTTCTGGTGGAATTCCTCTACACTGTGATGCTAAAATAAATACAATCTTTCTTCTAAAAGAAATAAAAACAAAATATAGAAAAGCAAATAAAACAATGCGCTTTCTAGGCAAAAAATAAATTAACTATTCCTGGAAATTACTGTCCGTATACGTTGATCGAGGCCATCAATATTAAGTGCTCTTTCTTATTTTCGTCGGACGATACCATTGATGCGCTGTTCATCACCCCCATAACACGTAGTGCCCCAGAGTCAAGGGGGAAACACCGTACTCCGCTAACTCCGGCACTCCGCGGAGTAGCGGAGTGATCCGGAGTGGACGGAGTGCCCTTGGAGTGAATGCAGTTTGTGATGTTATTTAAAATTAAACTCTATAAGTAACTTAATTTCACATCGAAAAATTACTAAGACTTTTACTGAAAAATGAAAATTAATGA